AAAAAAAAAAAAAAAAAGAAAGGGCTTCTTAGCTAAAGGAAAAAAAATGGTAATGAATGAAATTCTGTGGTGAAGATTGGGACTGCCTCTCTAGCAGACATTCTTTCCTTCTTTGTTGTATAGGAGACATGATGTTTGGGTGGGTTGATCCCATCCTCAGCTCCAGGGTGGGCTCTAACTGGTACAGGCCCATCAGTATAAACCTTTCCCCCTTGTACGTATCAGTTCAGGATAAGGCGTGTGATCTAAGTTGGCTCAGTTAGAGTAAAGCCTAGTTGTATTGTTCAGTGGTTGAAAGAAGAAAAGTCCTCTCATGTGTGGATGTGAGGGCAGGAACATCGGTGGGCATTTTGCTACCATGAGGGAAAGGAGCCTGAGTACCAACCTGACATATAGGGCAGAGAGAAGCTGAGGGAATTATAAAGATACGGAGTTAGAACCCTCACCAAACAGTGCTTGAAGCTCCCTCCCCACTGTTAGGGATTTTCATACATGAACTGATAGTTCTTTTTATTGTTTAAGCTAGTTTGAGTTGGTTTTTCTGCTTTTCTGGTACTTGTAAAAGAAAGTAATCTTTGAAGTAATCTTAACTGATACCAGTCACTTCCTGTCTTAAGAATCTTTCTAATATTCACCTAGAAAGTGAAAATTTCTGTCAAATATCCAGCTGTTCAGTTTGTGGAAGCAAAGTTGATATCTTGTCCTGTGGCCATTAAAAATAAATATTATATCACAACCACAGTCAGAGAACTACAACCCTTCACCTTTAAACAAACAAACAAAAACAGGGTTATCTTGTCTGATTCTAGTGCCCCAAATAAACGAAACCTCGAGCCTTTCCTACAAGTCATTGACTCACTAACAAAAACGACTTTATCCCTGACCTTTTTAGATAGGATAAGCACGTGAGGAAGCTGCTGTTTGTCCGCTATGAACAGAGATTGTCCATAAATCTAGTCATGTGGGTAATTGTTTTTTCTTTAAATCCCTGTTATATATACTTGTAATTGGATTAATGTTTCCTTCTGCAGTGTGATTCCCTTGTAACTTCTCTGCAAGGTTTATTTAATAAATGATTTTTGTCTCTGAGTTTTGTTTTGAAGTTGGAGGTTCCACTGAGATTATCCCCGGGGGGAAAAACTTACTTCCCCGACGGAATAAAGTGTTGCCTGAGAAACGCACCTCGTGGGCTGTTTACACTGCGCCGGGCCCTCTTTTCCACTCCTGGCGTGGAATTAAATGAATCTTTCCTCTTGTTAGTCCTTAACTTGCCATGATTAACTACAGAGTACCCAGTGAAGTGGACATCAGCCAGTGCTCCACCGTAATTGGAGCATCGTTTACTGAAATATTCCAGGTTACCGATTTTTCTCCTTCCTTCTCTATTTCTTTCTCCTCTCCATCTTCTCTTTTCCCATTGTCTTTGGTGATTGTTTCACTTTACAGTTCCAAAGACCAGCATTCTCTGTCTCTCTTCCTCCCCTATTTCCCCACGAAGCGGTTTCCTGCGATGATGAACTCGGCCTTTGCTTTTCATGTCCGCCCTCCTCCGTTCCTCCCTCCTGCCCCCCATCTCAGCAGCTCGCTCACCTCCTGGTACCAGTGTTTGATCAGGCGTAGGAGACTCTTCAGTTTTGTTGGCCGGTATTTCACGAAGTTTTTCTGCAGCTCGCTGAAGGATGGGAAGAAGTTTCCAGGGTCACCGCAGGCCTCGATCAGACTCACGTAGACCTCAGGGGGTAGCTGAGAGTTGGGGACAGAAGGCCCTGAGGAGAGAGGAAGCAATGAGAGAGACCGCGGATGCAGGAAGCACTCCAGGGAATAAGTGATCTTTTGGGGACAGCCTGCTCATTCACTGGAGGTGTCCCTCCAGGGATGCTGGAGACCCCACATCTTCAGAAACCGAAGGTCTGGCTCGTGCGACTGTCCTTTCTGTGACATTCTTACTCTGGAGAACCAACATTGGGCTTTCCAGGCCTCAGGACTCCGCTCCACTCCAAGGACTGTTGTCCTCCTTGGATGTCCCCAACGGCCACAGTTTTCCTTAATGTCTGTGGTGGATTTCTTTCTGGGTAATTTATTGGAACCCTCCGTGCTCATAGGGGAGAGCCCGTTCCACGGTGGGCAGGACTCAGGCATCTCAGCATTCTCTTTCTTGCTAAGATCGGATCCCACCTCAGACACCTTTCCCGTGGAGCAACTCCACGCAGCCACGGCAGTTCATAGGAGCTGGCACCTGAGATGAGACCTGTGTCATCTGGGCTTGCAGCAGATACGATTCACTTCAAACACCTAGGACTCTGCCCGAGGACAAACAACCCAGGCCAGTGAGCTAATGCCCTGGGAAGCGACCCTCAGTCAACGACCGACGGGAAGTGGGTGACTGAGCTCTCCAGCATCCCACTTGGGGTAAGGTTGGTGTGTGCTCTGTATTGTCACTTGGGGTTCTCCAAGGGCGTGAAGCCCAGTTGCTCAGAGTGGTGACTCTCTCCCTGATGCACTTTGTATTGAATTCTTCCCTTCCCCGTCTCCATTCCCCGCTTCCCTACCTGTGTTTCCCGGGATTACCTCCCAGGTGAACTGCTTGTCCTCGCATCCTTGTCTCGGGGTCTTCTAGGAAAACCCAAATAGTGACAAACACTCTTCTCGCGCCCCCAGCGAGTGCCACATAACAAAAGCACTTGTGGTGACTGTCGTAGCTCCTTCACCTCATTGGGTCTTGTCTCCTTCCGAATGCCCTTCGCGCTGAATCACTTCCTGAGCACCCTGTCTGTGGTTCCCCAGGGGACCTGCTCTTTTCCTCCGAGTACTTCCTGCCTCTTGCAATCGTGTGTTTATCTGTGTGATTCCTTGATAAATTTCAGTTTCCCAAGTTGAGTGACACGATGGCCTGAGTTGAGTTAGTCCCATGCGCTGCCCCGGCCCAGCCCTCAGCACAGGACGTGGTAGAATGAATGAACGCAGGTGTGTGCAGGTGCCCACGGGCGAGAGGTGACAGAGTGCCACGTCTCCTAGGGAGGGCAGGTATGTGAGTTGGGTGCGCGTCCCTTCCCCTTACCCAGGGCTCTGTAGGCAGGCAAGATGGTGACAGTGATGGGCTCCCTGGTCCTCTGGGTACGGATGGTGAAGACGAGAGCATCGGGGACTCCCTGGGCCACCCTTGGATCCTTGAGCCCGAGGGCCAGCAGGTCCTGGGAACACCACACTTTTTTCCATAGCAGCCTCAGAACGTCTCTGTGGTACTTGGCCTCCTCCTGGAAGCTGCGGAAACAGCCCAGAAACACCACCAGCTCCACTTCCCGGGTGCTTCTGAGAACCGTGCCATTCCCGAAGGAGCCCACCTGCAGGACACAGAGCCACGTCACCCCGAGGCCCGCTGCCACGAGCCCGCTTCACACGCATCATCCCATGTGATGCTCACCAACCCCTGCAAGATGGGTGGATCGCATAGCACCCCCAGTTTGCAGGTGAGAAAACCAAGACGTTGAGAGGATGAGTCACTCGCCTGTGGTCCCACAGTTTCCAGCCCGACTCTAGACCCCAGGCTTCCTGTCCACCACATCGCATGGCTTCCGGGCGGTCTTCTCGCGCACGGCGGAATGCCAGCGCCGAAGGAATCGTCACACCCACTCCATAGGGTTGTTTAAGGACTCCCAGGAGTCTGAATAATTTCATGACATTAGAAAGCGGGGATCAGGTTTGCCCGGTGGACAAGAGCCACGGGCTGTGGAATGGAGCAGCCTGACTTTGATCTTGACCCTTTGCCCTGTTCCTTAGCTGAGTAATTTTCTTAGCTGAGCCCTAGGCCCTTCGTCTGTAGAGTGAAAGTAACGATGGGACCTGAGTCAGTGGGTTCCTGGGAGGGTCAGACAAAGTAACGCATGCCAAGAGTCTGGCGAGGTGCCCGGCACACGGAAACTCAGCAATGTATTTCTCCTCCTCTTGGTGTAGTTGACTTAGGCAGTCCCTTCTGCTGCCTGGGTGCCAGTGTCCCCGTCTGTAACAGAAGGAGCCCGAGCCTGGGTGCATCTGATCTGAAGGGGACCTTTTGATGTTCTGAGATCCTAGACTTGCTCTCCACGCCCTGTTGCCTCCGGCACACAGCGAGCCCCACCACTCACTCCGTGTCGGGAGGTGGACTTACCGGGCAGGCATCGGACCTTAGGTGGGCTGCCTTTCCTGGTGGGTGGAGTCACTGCACATAAATTATAATCCAGCCGTCACAGGTTGAGCACTCCCAGTGTCTGGCACCCCTGGAAGCCCTTTATGCATAGTGTCCTTTTCAATCCTCACACCCACCGATTGAGGTGGGTGCTGGGATAATTATCCCCCATATACAGATGAGAAAACTGAGGCAGTCGGGGGTGAATCAGCTCACCAGGGTCTCAGAGTTGAGGAAGAGTCAGAATGTAAATAGTGAGCGGTTCTTATGCCTCTTTCTTCCCTGTAACCCCAGACTGTGAGCCAGGCTCTGCTCCCCCACATTCTCCCTTCCTTTCCTATTCTCTTCCCCACCAGCGTTCAGACCCAGCATGTCTAGCCCACAGGAGGGGTGGGAGTGGCGCCCTGTGTGTGGGCGAAGGGCACATCCCCCTGGAGGCTGTGTCTACACTGCCTTTTCTGCCTTTCCCAGGGGTAAGATCCAGGCAGAGAGGAAAGAACAATCCAGAACAGGCTTCCCGACTTGCTTTAGTTTGAACCTATTTATGCCCAATTCATTCGAAGACAAGCATTCACTCATGCCAGCTAGCTCCGCTTGCTAGATTTTCAGCGGGTAGGGAGGAGGGAGGGGTTAGAATCTAAATACCCTATATTAGTCCTCGTTAGTCATTGCACGTGGGTGTTGCTACATTTAGTGGTTTCAGGGGGAGAGGTGACTGTAGTTGGCAGGGAGAATTTGAGGCTTGGGCAAATACCATTTCCTGCTGTAAAAACTCATTCTGTTTCTAGCATCCTACTCTTTTTAGACACCCCAATGATGGCTACTTTATTTTTCGGGTTGGTCGAGGGAGGGTGGTCTGGGAGGGTCTGCCTGAGTCAGACTGGTGCCCCAGGCCCAGAAGAAAGCTTGGGCAAGGATTGCAATGATGCTTCTGGTCTCTGAGCATTTCCCGTGCACCAGTCACGTAGCCTGCGGGGCCCCGTTTGCTTGGCAAGGGAGAAATGATGGTGACAGTGATGGGTCCCCGATCACAGATGAGAAGACGGAGGGTTTGAGAGGGAAGATGGTAAAGTCAAGGCCACATAGCTGGTGAGGGGAGAAGTCAAGAGACTGTCTGATGTCAAAGTTTGTGGTTTCTCATGTCTAAATCACACGGTCTCGGGCTCCATATGCTGGGGTTAGGTGCGAAGAAGAGATGGGGGCCTGGGGCTTTTAGAGCTTTCTTCCGTCACTTGGTTGCCCCTAGAGACAAATAAAACACTGGACTGGGAGTCAGGAGTCCTAATTCTAGTCTTGCCTCTGCTACCAACTTCCTGTGTGACCTTGGAACGTCTCTCACCCTCTCTGTGCCCCAGTTTTCTTAATATTTAAGAGAGGGATTGGCTGAGACTGTCTGATTCTCCAGGGTCTTTCTAGCTCTGACCCTTGTGAGTTTCCATCCTGTCTAGCGCAGGAGGTGGCAGGAAGAAGCTGAAGGAAGGGCTTAGAGAAAAATCTCAGAGGGAGAGCTTGGATCCCTGGCTGTGGAGTCAAGTTCAAATCTCAGCTCCAGCACTAGCTGTGTGACCTTGGGCCAGTCACCTCACCTCTGTGAGCCTCTATTAAAAAAATCTTTTTATCATCAAACATTTGAAACATACAGAAAAATAGAAGGAAAATACAAAGAACACTATTACACACATATACCCAACCAGTAAGATTCAACAAGTTTAAATTGCTTACCACATTTACTTCATCTAAACCACTTGAAAGTAAATTACAGACACCAAGGAACTTTGTCCCTAAATACTTTAGAGTTCGTGTTCATAAAAGAAGAACATTCTCTCCCGTAACCACAAAATTACTGTGATACCTAACACAGTCAACAATGGTTCCCTTATATATTATCCAAAATCCAGGTCATATTAAAATTTCCCCAGTAGCCCCCAAACTGTATTTCACAGGCGGTTTATTCTGCCAGGATCCCGTCAATGTCCCTGTATTACATTTGTCCGATATAAATCTTAACCCTCTGAGTCTCCGTTTTTGCTCATCTGTAGACTGGGAAAAGAATAGTACCTGCCTTACGGGGTGCAAGAATTAGAGATAATACATGGTAAGGGATTAGGCCAGTGCACCCCAAAATGTGAGCTGTTATTATTCGATTTGTTCTGCTCAAGGCAGCAGTGCGGAGGGGTGCAGCGAGCTAGGTGGGCTGGCGTGTGGTGTCCTGAGATGTCAGCATCACACGCTAGGGATAATGAGCCCGGGGTCCCCAGCATCCTCAGGGACAGGGACTCAACGCTGGGTTTCGCCCCGCCCTGGCCAGGGTGGTGGAGGGGCCCAGGCTCACCTTGACTACCTTGAGCACGCGCACCTCCTGGTCCAGTCCGTGCTCCCCCTGGAAGTGCTCCTGCCTCAGGAGCTGCTCCACGGTCCTCACCACCTCCTGCACCTCTTCCTTCCACTCCCGGCACGGCTGCAGCCACTGAGTCACGAAGGAGTCCAGCCTGCAGGCCGGCGTGTGGAACAGCTCCTGCATCACTGCCGTCTCTGTCTGGAGAGCACCACTGCCGCAGATACATAGCCGGGCACCCACCCCGCTCCCGGCACACACCCCCTTTTTAAGGGGGCTCCTCTTCCGCTGACCTCCAGCACCCTGGGGGTTAAAGGACCAGAGCGGAGAGGAAGCCAGGTGGGACCGAGCTGACCTAGCGTTCCCCTTCTTGGAGACCGCTTGCTGGGTCAGGGGCGCAGACAGACACTGGGCCGAGGCTGGACCGTCCGGAGCCACCTTAACACGCCTGGCATCTCGCCAACCTCTCTGCTATTGGTTTCGATTCTCAACTTTTAGAGTTTCCCTTTGATGACGTTTGGAAACTGAAATGGGCCAGTGTTTGACCCTAGGGAGGCAACTGGCCCAGCAGGTTGGAGCTGGATGGTGTGAGTCATCCAACTCATCGAAGGAAACTGAGGCTTGGGAAGAGAAGGGACTTGCTCCCGGTGAAGGAGAGGAGGAGAACTCTGGGATGGGACAGAGCAGACCTTGAATTCCAGCCTGCCCTCTGCCAGACCCTGACCTCTCTGAGCCCCGAATTCACTACTCACAAAGTGGGTTCAACGAGTACGATTCACGCGCTAAACATTTACCGAGTGCCTGCTGGGTGCTTGGACATCGTGCTAAGGAGACAAAGTAAGACAAGGTTCCTGTCCCAAGGGGTTCCCAGAGCGGTGGGGGAGAAAAATAAATAAGGAGACTGTAAGAGTCGGGTGCGATGTGTGCACAGTAGAAAAAAAGGCACAGAAAACCGGAAGCCGGGTGGAAGAATTTCACGTGGTGCCAGCAGACACCTGCTTAAGATGAGAGGAGGGAGCGGGCACAGCACAGGTGAAGGCTAGTGCGTGCCGGGGCCCAGGTGTGCTGTATACCTGGAAGGCGAGGAGGGGAGAGGGGAGAGATGTACCTGGACAGGTGGGCAGGAGTTGAATCCTTCCTTCATTCCACAAATACTTACTGAGCACCTACTCTGTGCCAGACACGTGCTGGGGATACATCAGTGAACAGACAGAAATCCCTGCTTGCAGAGTGCTTACCTTCTGGTAGCGGAGACAGACAATAAACAGGATAAATAAGGGCAATTATAGTAAATGAGGTGGTGGTAAGTGCTAAGCAGGAAAATAATGCAAGAAAAGGGGTTAAGATGTCCCGTGTCTGTGTGTGTGTGTGCGCGCGCGCATGCATGGCATCTGTTCAGGTGTTCAGTCTTACATTACGTGGCTAGGGAAGACCTTCCTGAAAAGCAGACTTTTGAGCAAAGACATAGAGGTGAAGAGTGAGCCACGTGTCTAACGGGGGAAGAAGATCATTCATGGCAGAAGGAACAGCAAGTGCAAAGGTCCTGTGGTAGCTGTGTGCCTGGCAGGTTTGAGGAACATCAGTGTGTCTGGAATGGAATGATAGAAGGTGGGGAGAGGAAGGAGATGAGGTTTGAATGGTAAAGGGAGGGACGGGAAAGGGATGGGATCTTGATGATGGCTGTTAAGACTTTGACTTTACTGTGAATGAAATGGGGAGCACTGGAGAGGAACGGCATGGTCTGACTTTCATTTTAACAGGACCATTTTTTCATGTTCGTTGGCCGTTAGTCTGTCTTCTTGGAAAAGTTTCTGTCCATGTCTTCTGCCCACTTTTTGATAGGGTTGTTTGATTTTTTTCTTGCTGATTTTCCTGAGTTCCGTATAAATTCTAGTTACCAGCTCTTCATTGGATGTGTAAAATGTGAGTATTTTCTCCCATCCTATAGGTTGTCTGTTTGCTCTTGTGATGGTTTCCTTGGCTATGCAGAAGCTTTTTAATTTGATCTTGGCCATTTATTATGGCCAAGAAACATATGAAAAAATGCTCAATATCTCTAATCATCAGGGAAATGCAAATCAACGCCACAATGAGATATCATTTATCTCCAGTGAGAATGCCGTGTATCAAAAAGTCCCAAAACAATAAATGTTGGCGTGGATGCCGAGAGATAGGAACACTCATGCACTGTTGGTGGGATTGCAAACTAGTGCAACCTCTGTGGAAAGCAATATGGAGATACCTTAAAGAGATACAAGTAGAAGTACCATTCAATCCAGCAATCCCATTACTGGGCATCTACCCAAAAGAACAAAAGACATTTTATAAAAAAGACATCTGCACTCGAATGTCTATAGCAGCACAATTCACAATTGCAAAGATGTGGAAACAACCCAAGTTCCCATCAATACATGAGTGGATTAATAAAATGTGGTATATGTATACCATGGAGTACTATTCAGCTTTAAGAAATTATCCTGGATAGAGCTGGAGCCCATTCTACTAAGTGAAGTATCACAAGAATGGAAAAACAAGCACCACATATACTCACCATCAAATTGGTGTTAACTGATCAACACTTATGTGCACATATAGTAATAGCATTCATTGGGTGTCGGGCAGGTGGGAGCAGGGAGGAGCGGATGGGTATATTCACACTTGATGGGTGCGGTGCGCACTGTCTGGGGATGGACATGCTTGAAGCTCTGACTCGGGTGGGGCAAAGGCAATATATGTAACCTAAACATTTACACCCCTGTAATATGCTGAAATAAAACAAATAGATAAATAAAAAAAATTAACAGGATCGATCACACTGGCTGCTGGGGAGGGGGGATTAGATTAAAAGCAGAGGGTGGGAGTGGAGGTGAAGGGGAAGCAGGAGCAGGGTTAGGAAGCTACTGCAGCAAGTGCAGGCAAGAGATGAGGCAGCTTGGATCAGCATGATAGCCGTGAAGGCAGGGGAGAAGTAGTACGATTTAATAGTTTTTATTATGGAAAATTTCAAACAAAGTGGAATAATGTATGTAATGAACCTCCAGGTACCATCACCCAGCTTCAACAATTATCAACCGGTAGACAATTTCATTTTAATTACACCCTCATTCATATCTTCCCTCCTGTATTATTTGGAAGCGAATTCCAGACATCACATCATTTGGCGGGGTGTATTTCGACTATGAGGCTGACAGGTCTTGCTAATGGACACAGCATGTTGTGAGAGGAAGATCAGAGTCAGAGTCTACTCCACGGCTCTTGGCCTCGGCCACAGAAGGATGGAACGGCCCTTCCCTGACTGGGGAAGACTGGGGAAGGGCACAGTGTGGGCGTGAACATCAGCAACCCCGTTTTGGAACTGAAGTTTGAGTTGTCTGTTAGAGACCCAGCTGGAGATGGGGAAGGGGCCCTTGGGTGTCTGAGGCTGGATTTCGGGGAAGAGGTCTGGACTTGAGATGCCAATTTGGGAGTCACCAGCATGGAGACGTTTAAGGCCATGACACCTGATGAGATCACCAAAGGAGTGAGTATAGAGCAAGAAGAGAAAAGGACCAAGAACTGAGCCCTGAAGCACTTAACGTTGTTCAGAGGTCAGGGAGTTGTGAGAGTCCAGGAAAGAAGAACGAGAAGGAGTATCTAGACGGGACAGAGGGAAATCAGGAGTGGTGTTTTGAAAGCCAGGTGAAGATACCGCTTAGAAAGAGGAAGTGATCCGCGGCGTTCGATGCCAGGCGAATCTGCTCTTTGTCCCAAGGACAGTGGCAAATTAGGGGAATGGCACGTGGTGACGTTGGCATCTGGGAAGATTGGCCTTGTCGCTCCTGTGATGAGGATGGATTGCAGAGGGTAAGAGCAGAGGCAGGGACACAGGTCAGGACACTGAGCTGTGGTGCAGGTGACAGGCGGTGGCAGCTGGGACTAGGCTGGAAACAGCGGAGGTGGAAAGGGAGGTTGGATTCTAGGTCTGTTTTGGAGGAAGGGTGGACAGGACTTGGTGACTATAGCAGGAGGTGAGGGACAGGGAGGTGACAGGGATGACTCCCAGCTCTCTGGCTTGGGTCCTTGATAATAACGCCACCATTGGTGGCATTATTAACACAGAGAAGGAGGAGGGCGTGGGTGTGGGTGTGGGGAGATCTAGGAGTATCTTTGATGACGACTTGGAGGTATCCATGGATGCTCAGGAGGGATGAGCCGCTCCAGGTGAGGACAAATTTGGTTTTCCTTAGCACACAGGTGGCCATTGGTACCAACTGGTCATGCCAAAATTTAAGTGATGAGCAGAGGAAGAGAAATTTAGGCAGTACCAGCCAAACAGGTGGGGACAAAGCAAGAGAATTTTAAAGTCATCCGCATTGCCTAGTGCTTCTGAAAAGTTAAGAAATGTAGGTCTGAGAAGATGAGGATCGTGGAGACTGGGAGAGTAGATAACCCTCTCAAGAAATTCATCAACCACGTCACATTCCAATTTAAACTACCAAACTGGCTAACCCCAAGTGGAAAGCATCACATTTTTTTTATTACATGGATTCTGAAAGTCCTCCAGTTTCCAATGTTTGGTAGTACCTGGTCCTCAAGTAATACCATATGATGACAATTCAAAGAGCAGTGGCAGCTTTGCAAAGCTAAGTCAACAGTAGGGTAAGACCACAACCATTTGCCATATGTTTATGGGGACAGACAATTAACTTCGAGGCAATAGAAAAGTTATTCAAACAATGAACATTCAGACCTTCCATATTAGTTTTTTATTTAGCTTCATGAAATCTCTAGGAGTTAAGCAGCTTTTAATTATTTGATCGCTAACATGATGGATAACATTTGAAGATTTTAAAAGGGAACATGGAGTCAGTAATGTGTTGACATTATAGTTTGCCAAAATACCACCCAGTGGAGCATGCTTCTATAGGGAGGGAGAAGAGCCAGGAGATCAGAACGGGGTGAGCTAGGTTTTGGGCAGGAGGAAGGTACATAAAGATGAGTGTTGGCTTGGATTCCCTGTAATGCAGGGCATGAGAGAAGGCCTTTCACGAAGGTGGTTTGTTCTGGCAAATGATCTCAAGGGACAAGTGTGGGGGTTTGGGAAGGAGAGAAAGCCAATTGAAGGAACATTATTACATTGATTATAACTGTGAGCAACTGGGGCTCAAGCCCATGGGGACCCTCAGAGAAGCTACGTAGAATGTGCCTTAAAACTGTCCACCTAAGAGTTGGAAAAGGGGACCCTGGTTCCTGTCTTTCCGTTGGTTAAGGTTTGCCCCAGGGGTGGTAACTCCCTTGAACGTCCATGTTTGCTCATGTATCAATGGCTCAGTGGGCACCCACAGATGTTTACAAGAAAGCAGAGAATGCCTGGGTAGAAAGCAGAGACATTTCCCCTGTCATGTGGAGAGAGATCATCGAAGAAAATGCATAATAACAAGGGGGAAAACAATGCTCTCAAACTCTCCCCGTCCCTGTATGCACACCCCTCTGCAATGTTGACTTTACAATTCCTCCCAGCAAGGGGTCGAGCCTGTTTCCCCATCCCTTGAATCAGAGTTTGGCCATGCAGCTTGTTTTGGACACTAGCAGACATCATACAAGTAGAGGCTTAAAAAGTGCATGCTTTTTGGGACTTGGCTTTCTTCTTGCTGCTTTTAGAACCCAGTAGCCATGTGCACAAGCTCAGATGAGCCTGTTGGATCCTGGGAAACACATGGTTAAGGCATCCCTGTTTTCCCAGCTGATATTGAACAATTTGCCAGACATGTGAGTGGGGCTGGTATAGACCTTCAGCTGCCGGTGAGTCATATCGACCAGAAAACCTGCTCAGCCAATTCACAGACTCCTTGAACAAATAAATGGGTGTTGTCGGGTGGTTCATTAAGCAGTATAAACTGACACACCCACTGGCATCATTTGGACTCCTTGATTCACGTGACAGTTAATTTTAGGTGGCAACTTCACTGGATTAAGGGATGCCCAGATAGCTGGTAAAACATTATTTCTGGGCATGCCTGTAAGGATGTTTCCAGAGGAGATTAGAATTGGAATTAGTAGACTGGGTAATGCAGGTCTGCTCTCACTCATGTGGCTGGGCATTACACAATCCTTTGAGGGCCTAGAAAGAACAAAATGTGAAAGAAGGGTGATTTGCACTCTCTCTTCGGAAGCTGGGACATGCATCTTCTACCCTCAGACATCAGAACTCCATCTTCTTGGGACTTCAGACTCCGGGACTTATACTACTGGCTGCCCTGGTTCTCCAATGTTCAGACTTAGACTGAAACACACCATTGGCTTCCCTGGGTTTCCCGCTTGCAGACAGCATATCACAGGACTTCTCAGCCTCCATAATCCCATGAGCCCATTCCCATAATAAATTCCTTCTTCTGTAGCTATCTATATATCCTGTTGGTTCTGTTTCTCTGGAGAACCGTCACTAATACAATCCAGTTGTGCCTAATGTTAGCTTCCCCTGGACTCTTATGGGCCATGACATTCTGCTTATTTTTGCTTAAACCAATTTGAAGTGTGTCTTTGTCACTTGCAATCCGAAAGGTCCTTATGATCCAAGAGTGAATGGATTTTAAGGACAAATGGGCAGAAAATTGAAGGCATCTGCTGGGGAGTCACGGGCAGGCTTGTCCGTGGGGTGGGTGTAGGCTGAATAGAAAAGGAAGTAAGCCCAGGGTGTAGAGGAAACGAAAGAGCCAGCAGTTCAAGATCCTTCCTCCTTGAGACCCTAGGGTTTCCTTCCCTGAATCTCTTCTTGGAGCTGCATCGAATTCATTGGGTTCCTCCTGGTCTCCTCCAGTGAAATCGGGCTTGTGCTACCTAACATCAACCTGATTTCTATGGGCCCCCAGATGTCCACCAAGCTGCGAACGTCCCCCTGTTTAAAGGTAGGCAAACTAGGGAGTCCCTTCCCTGATCATCATCATAATTCATCTCCTTGTGTTCAGGCAACACAGCCCAGTTGGGCTTGTGGATCTTAGACATTTTTCTCCTTGTGATATCTAGGGCACCATGGAATAAAGCTACATCGGGTCTTAAACCTGCCCAAAGGACGGAAACGTTTGCAAAAATTTTATCAGTGCCTATTATTACATTTTGTCCTTCTTTCCTGCCTATAAAGCAGGAGGGAGATAGCTCTGGGGATTCTGGAACCAAAAGAGAAATGGAGGTTGTTGGGGATGCACATGGAAATTCATGCTTACAATGCAGATGAACTCCATTGGTCAGAACTTAATCACATGGTCACAACCAGCTGCAAGGGAGGCTGGGAAGTGTAGTTTTTAAGCCTTGGCAATGTGCTGAAAATTCCATCGCTATGGAAGAAAGGGAGAAAGGACGTTGGGGGTGGGGCAGAGAATAACAATCGTTCCCACAACACCCATTCTCTGTTTCTGTCATTTTGGCTCCAGCACAGGACTAGGAGTGAGGGAACTGCCAGGACCAGAGAGGATTCAGCTCTTTAGAATTCCCTCTGCCCCCACCCTAGGATACGAAAGGAGAACTTGGAGACCGCAGGGGAAGAGCTAGTAACATGTGGTAGCTGCTACATTTATTGAGCACTTATTGTGTGCCAGACACCGGGTGAAGAATTTCGCATGCGTTAGGTTGTTTCAAGCCTCGTACAAGACTCCACTTAATCCCTACTAGAATCGTCCATTCATTCAGCACATATTTACTGAGCACCTATTATGTGTTAGCTCCTATGCCAGGCACTGGGAAATAGTGGCGAATAAGACAAGAGTCCTCCATCCTTGCTGAGTTAACAACAGCAAAGTGGTCAGAGCACGAGCTTTGGAGCCAGAGTGCTGGGTTCAAATCCAAACTTAGCTACGTGAATGTACAAGTCATTGAAACCATCTGTGTCTCAGTTTCCCCACCTGTAAAATAGGGGAGATTATAGTTCCCACATACTAACGCTGCTATGACACTCTGATGACGCGATCTCCATCTCAGAATCTGCTTCCCTGGGAACCCAACCTGAGACATCTGGATGTATGGCAGGGTAAGATTTTTGCATTTGCATATACCCCTGTAACCACCACCCAGATCAAGATACTAGAACATTTCTAGTCTCCCAGCAGGCTCCTTAAACCCTCTCCTGATCAACAACCCCCTAAAGGTAACAACTGGGAGACAGGTTTGAGGTCCCTCTTTCCCTCACATCCCACATTCCATCCACCATCAAGGCTTTTGGGCCTTGAATCCATCTACCTCTTCCCATCTCCACTCCCATCTCCAGCCCAAACCATCATCGTTTCTCCTGGGGTACTGCAATAGCCTTCTAAAGTGAGTGTCCACTCTTGTTGCCCTGCTCTGAAACCCATTCTACCAGTTCTTGGCTACCTTGGGTCTAACAATGTTTGGACAGAGGGGTGAAGGCATTGCCTATGAGCATGGGGACCAGGTCTACTCCAGCGTGGGGCTTGTGTAGGTGAGTGTGGGCATTTTCAGAGAATGAGACATAGGCTGGGAGGCACCCCAAACAACGTGGACTCTGAAACGGCATTGGACTGGGACCTTCATGAAGATAAGAGTGAAGAATTCAAAGCCATTCATTGGTTCATTCATTTATTCAGCAGGCAAGCACCAAGCTTTTGCACCAGGCAGGTGCCATTCTGGACCATGGGGACACAAGGAATAAGGCATAGTTTTTGTCAAGTCTCATGAGGCTGGGGGGGTAAATGATCCAACAAAGGAACACAGTGAGGGTCCCAGGTGCTTGCACAGAAGCCTGATGTGGGCGTAGGGAGAGAGTAGGGGCAGATGACTTGGTCAGCTGCGTGAGGCTTAGAGCAGTGGTTCTCAAACTTCAGTGTGCATCAGAATGAACTTGGGAGGCTTGTTAAGACATACACTTTTGGGTCCCACCACCCGAGAATCTCACTCAGGTTAAGTCTGGGAATGTTGCTGAGAATTTTCCGGTCTAAGAAGTTCCCAGGGAATGCTCACTCTGCTGGTCTGAGATCCATGCTTTGAGAATCAATGACTTAGGAGGTTGAGCATTGACAGATGAGAACGTGGAGGGAAGGGACGGAGGGATGAACAAGGGCTAGACGGTCAAAGATCCCGAATGCCAAGCACAGGAGCTTGAACTTTATTCTGTGGGCAATGGGGAGCCATCAGAGGACTTCAAGCAAGGGAGAGGGTATGTTCATATTTATGCTTCACAAAGAGCACAGTGTCTGGCTAGAGAGGGGCAGGGGCAGGGAACGGGACCGTAGGACCGTCATGGGCAACCTGACCACGGGCACCCAATACAGGTTGCCTGTCCTGGCATAGTCGCCATAATCTCAGCTTCTCTTAATGAGCGTGATGGTGTCACAGTCCTCGATCTGCAGGTCTTCCAGGCTGCGATGATTCCACAGTTTCCGACCCTTGAACTTCAGTATCTGATCCTCCACGTGAGGTCCTCCGGCTTCCTCAATCTTCTCTTTCAAGTCACGGATGGTGTCATCGGGGTGGATGGCGTAAGGCCTGCTCTGGCCGCTAGAGTCCTTCACGAAGACCTGGATCTCAGGAGGGATGGTCTCTAGCACCCGGATGCTCACTTTCGAGAAGATCCCATAATCCGCCAGGGTCCGCTGGCTGCTGAGAAGTTGTCGCTGCCCTCCTGGCTCCTGGAAAGACAGACGCTGCTGCCCGCTGAAGTCACACTTTCTCTTGATCTCTGTCTTCATCTTCCAGATGGGGCTGTAGGGGTTCACCGAGAGTGTCCAAGCCTCCTCCCCTGTCTGTTTCACTGTCACCAGGACGTCCCTTGCTCGCTGAAAGGGAGGGAGGAGCAGATAAGGTTATCTCTCTGGGTGGTCCTATCTGTCGTCCCCAAAGCCTCCCTTCTGGCTGCTGCTAATATGATGTATCGCCTACTGAGATACTTCTAAAACTAATATGTGAGATGACAGGCACAAACCAGGACTGTCCCAGGGAAAAGAGACTACTTGGTCATCCTGGGCTTATAGAATCATCAGGTCAAACTGTCCTCTGACTCACCCCAGCTGGAGTAACAACTGGCCACAGTTCTCCAAATCATACTCCTCCTATGTAGACCTATTCAGAGCCCTTGCCTGTCACCTGCTCATAACATTGTACTCACCCCATAGCTGCATCACAGTGCTGCTGGGAGGTCCAATGATCTAATGTATTTCAGGCTCGAGCATGTATGTTTAAGGATGTTCGTTGTAATGGCAAAAGTCTGAAAGCATCCTGGTTGTACGAACTAAAGTACTTTCCCTCTCATCGAATTATGACATACTGTTGAGAAGACTGATTGGATCTAGGGTGACTTTATGTTCCAGTTTGTCCAGGGAAGTCCTGGTGCGTGTCCCTTGTCCTGGCATAATTAACACCGCCCCATTTTATGCTTGGAAGCGTCCTGATTTGGACTTTATGTTATATATGGCTATGCTGATTAGGTCTACATGTGTGGATATGCAATTGTCTTTAAGATCACTTAATTTAGTGATTGAATAACCCATTGAATAATATTTGAGCGAATGAAGTACAAATGCAAAAAGCCCCCAGGGAGTATGTTCAGGCACAGGCACGTGCTTTTGTGTGTGCAGCATATCCGCAGGAGGGGACATAAGTGATTGACAAGTGGATGTCTGGGAGGGGGTCAAACTGAGTGACTTGGGGCCAGGATAGGAAGGACACTTACTTTAATTGTGTATCATTTTAAATAGTTTGATTTCCTTTTTTTTTTTTTTTGCCTTCCCAGGAGCCCCCTGGTCCACTGGACATTGCCAGCCAATGGGACATGGCTAGGGGGTGGGTCCCTCTGATGTCTTAGTTATCTGCCTTGCTTCAATTGCTCCAGGGTAGCCTTTGGGCCAGACTCTGAACTTTCCACGCAGGATATGAAATGCAGGATTGGTGACAAGATTCCTCCACGAGTAGCAGGTTGGGGAAATTAGATCTTTCAGGGAGTTCTCATAAGCAGAGTCCTGGTCCCTGTGTTCCCACTTAGTGCTCAGACCTTGGAACCGTGATCTGTGTGGGAAAATTCACGTATATGTGAGTACGTTCTTTACTATATCCTTCAAATGGCTGCAGAGCAGGGCAGAAATTGGCTGCCCATTTTACAGGTGAAAGAACCGAGGCCCAGACATTTACAGCAGAAGGGGAAGAACTTCACATCTGGTTGGCTGGGGTGTCTACATGGAAGGGTTCTGCATCCGGGGGCCTATAGATGCAGTAGCAAGAGTTGGGGGGATCCATGTGGGGTTAAAAGGAGGTCAGTGCTGAGTCAGTACTATGGGGTGGGAGGGGCTCATACCTGTACGTCCCAGCCCTGGCGGGGGTCCACAGTCCTGCAGCAAGCTTGCTGCAGGCAGTAAGCAGCCTCTTGGGCCACCAGGTCCCATCTTTTTCGCCTCCCCAGGTTGTTGGTGGGGTCAGCTGGGTCCAGGATAATGGGCCTGAAGAGAGAAGGGGAGTGGATCTCTGTCACGCTCGGGACTCTGATCTCTGCCACTCAAGCCTACGGGATTGTGCATGTCTCTGGGTAGGGAGGCATCCCTGCAAGATGGAGCGCTTGTTCCTGATCAGAGATGTAACCTAAGCAGGCCCAATCAGAGTGAATTGCAGAGATTTTACTTGGAATGCTCCCTTTTGTACTGGAAAGGATGTGTCCCGATGAGAAGCCTAGAACTGATGCAGCCATAAGGGAATTAGCCCAAATTCAATGGTAAAACCCTGAGTAGCACAGAGCTAAGCAATGCACAGAATGGGACCCTGATGATACAGCAGACATCTGGATCACGCCATACCTGAAGCTGTTTTTATCCTTGGACTTCTTTAGTTACAAAAGCCAATCAATCCCCTTAATATTTTATGCTATTTGAGTTGGGTTTTTCTATTCCTTAAAGCTGAAAATAATGCAACCAACACACTCACCTGCATTCTTTCAACTGTTGTCTGATAAAGTTTCTGACAACATCATTTTGGAAATTATAGTACTTGGTCCAGTATACGCAGATGTCTTTGTAATCTCTGAGCAGTTCCATCACAGCCACAAGCCCTTCATCCATTTCGAAGTTCTCACTTTTGTCTGTACCCATTTCCCAGGCATAGATGGTCAGTAGCTCCAGTGCATATTTGGGAGGTAATGCCATGCCTCGATATTTACGTTTCAAGTACTGGAGAAAGGGGGTGGGGGGTGAGGGGAGAGAGAAAGAGAGAGAGAGGGAAAGAGAAACTGAGATTGATTCCTGATGCCCTGGGAATTTCCAGTTCACTTCGTTGCATTATGTAGCACAAGCCATGAATGGCTTGGGGTCTAGATGGACTTACGTCCTAAGGCCATCAGGATTTCCAAAAAGAGGAAACTGGGGTGTCTTATGAACCTTCTGAGCATCATCAGTCTGTGCCATTCAGTGGGAATGGAGGAGGCAATAAAATATAGTAAATCTAGGAAATAACTGAAGAAAACTAAAACATATATGCACACTGAAAATGTAAAACAAAATCAGAACAAATTGAAAGATAAAGGAGAAAGAGTAATAATGTGTAATGTTCACTTCCTCCCAAATTAATTGAGAAATTTATTGCAATCTCAATTGGAATCCCAGAGATGTTTCTTTTCTTTTTTTTTTTTTTGAGACAGAGTCTCACTGTGTTGCCCGGGCTAGAGTGCCGTGGCGTGGTCTTAGCTCACAGCAACCTCAAAATCCTGGGCTCAAGCGATCCTCCTGCCTCAGCCTCCTGAGTAGCTGGCGTGTGCCACCATGCCCGGCTAATTTTTTCTATATATTTTTAGTTGTCCAATTAATTTCTTTCTATTTTTATTAGAGACGGGGTCTCGCTCTTGCTCAGCTGGTTTCGAACTCCTGAGCTCAAACAATCCACCTGCCTTGGCCTCCCAGAGAGCTAGGATTACAGGCGTGAGCCACCGCACCTGGCCGGTGCCCGGCTAATTTTTAAAAAATTTTTTGTAGAGATGGGGTCTCCCTGTGTTGTCCAGGCTGATCTTGAACTCCTGGCCACAAGCAATCCTCTTGCCTCAGCCTTCCAAAGTGCTGGACTTACAGGCATGAGCCACCACAACTGGCTTTGAATTTTTTTTTTTAATAATGAGTCCATTGTAATATTCAGATAATCGGAAGAAACAATTTATTATTATTATGAAAAATATGTCGTGTTGTTGGTTAAGAGTGCAAGTTGTGAAGTCAGACACTTTTGTGCTCAAATCTCAGCTCCGCTTTAGCTTTTGAGTCTCAGTTTTCCTATCTCAGAAATGGGGATAATGAATAATACGTGCAGTAGTAGAGTTGTTGGAAAGACTGGATGAGAAAAAATATTCACAAGTGCTTAGCATAGATCATAGAACATAATTAACACTCAATAAATGGTAGCTGTATTACTATTACTGCTGTTTGTATTATCCTCTGAAATGCCTGAGGCCTGAAGCCTACTGAAAATTATGTTTCTGCTCATCCGGAACCATTTCATTGCCCTCGAGGAAAGTGTCATTGGAGCCAGGAGGCTCTAAGCAGGACACTGCGCTTTGGAAAATACAGCAGTGACAACGCCACCACCAACAATAATGGCCGTCCCTAATATTGGCTGGTGTCCTATAGTTTACAAATATCTTGCAATGATGTTTTTTCACCTACGCTACATAACCTGCCTCCTATCCTTAGACAACCAGGTTGTTTCCATTTTTTTCCTCTTAAAATAAAATGATGGGATGCACACACTCCCCCCTGTCCCGTGTCCCTGTACCTCCTAGCCCAGCGCCCACACTCTCACCTGCTGGTACCAGTGCTTTACCAGCTGCAGGAGGCTCTTCAGTTTGGCAGGACAGCTTTTCACAAAGTGCCTCTGCAGCTCGGTGAAGCTTGACGAGAACTCCCCAGGGCGGCCGGCGCTGGTGATTAAATTTTCATAGATTTCCTGTGCTGGTTTAGAGTCTGGGCAAAAGGGTCCTGGGAGGAGAAAAATACCTGGTTAGGAAGATTTACCATTTGAGGTGGGAAGATGGGAAAAGAACTGCTGAGCATAGAATATGCATAAATTATCCCATGCAATCCTCACTGTAGCACTGTTTCCCCCATTTTACAGCTAAATAAGTGGAGGCCTAGATGGTTTGGTAGTACGCTCAAAACTCACGTCGATTTTTAAAAACTCAAATTGACCAAAGACTTGCCATGTGTCAGGCACTGGGCTAAGTTCATGGAATCAGAACAGCTCCATGAAGTAGGTACGCTTAAGTGGAACCACGGGAAATTGCCGTTTTTGTGGGTCAAATATTGTCAGTTTCCCATGGGTCACTCAAATTTAATATTATTGTCCCATCCAACAAGTTGGTATGCTCAGTCTTGGAGGGGTTAAATAGTTTGCCCAAGGTTGTGCAACTAGTAAGTCTTAGAGCACACATTTGAAGTCATTAAGGGCCTCTTCCGCTTTTGTTTAGAGACAGGGTCTCACTATGTTGCCCAGGCTGGAGTGCAGTAGCTATTCACAGGCATGGTCATTGCACACTACACCCTTTTTTTTTTTTTTGAGACAGAGTCTCACTCTTTTGCCCGGGCTAGAGTGAGTGCCGTGGCGTCAGCCTAGCTCACAGCAACCTCAAACTCCTGGGCTCAAGCGATCGTCCTGCCTCAGCCTCCCGAGTAGCTGGGACTACAGGCATGCGCCACCATGCCCGGCTAATTTTATATATTTTTAGTTGTCTAATTAATTTCTTTCTATTTTTAGTAGAGACAGGGTCTCGCTCTTGCTCAGGCTGGTCTCGAACTCCTGAGCTCAAACAATCCGCCCGCCTCAGCCTCCCAGAGTGCTAGGATTACAGGCGTGAGCCACCGCGCCCGGCCCACACTACACCCTTAACTCCTGGAATCAAGTGATCCCCTTGCTTCAACCTCCCAAGTAGCTGGAACATGGGACGGACGGGTGCACGCCGCCGTGCCTGGCAAGAACCCTGCCTTAAAGATGATTCCAATCCAGCTCTGTCTGACTCCAAAGACCTTGAAGAACTTGTTTGACCTGCTGTTTCCCAGAGGTTCAAAGAAGAATCGTCTTCTTGGGTTGGGTGAGAATCTGTGATTTGGGAGAAGTCCCTTTTCCTCGGGTCACAATGGGACATGGCAACACATGCATTTATGGGGGACTTAATCTTCAGGGTACTGCTGTAGTCCCCTCTCCCTGTAAAAGAGCTATCCCCACTCTCTCCTCACTGGTTTTCATTTCCCCAAACCTCCTTGGAGGCCAGGTTGGTGAAGGGGTCCCACTGGTTTCTCTAGACCCGCCCCATGGCTGTCTTTACCCAGAGCATCGAAAGCCGGGAGCAAGTCCACCCTGACGACTCCGCTGTTCTTCCTGGACTGGACTTGGATGGACAGGGAGCGAGGGGCGCTGGTCCCCACTCTGTGTGGGGTCACAGTGATTTTGTAGGCCAGGCTTCTGCTACAGTGAACCAGTTTCTCCTCCATGAAGCTGATGATGATTCCTCGGAGCTGTGCCTGGTCTTGGAAGCTGGAGAAGCAGCTCAGAAACAGAACCAGGTCCACGTCGGAGCTGTAGTTCAGTGTCGTCCCCTTCCCTGTGGAGCCACCCTGTGGAGGACAACAATGTTGAGCTTCCCCGCCGCTGAGATCCGATGCTTTGAGGTTGAGATTGAAGCCGGAGCACCCATGTTAGGCTGTTTACATAGGTCCCAAAGGAGCCCTTGGTCTCCGCCATACATTGGTAGACTTTGCTATGGCTTTTACTACATCTTTTCGTTGATTAGAAAAATTAAATACCTGGTAAGCAAGTCAAAGGATACAAATGAAATGTAAAGCTCCATTTCTCCCCAGGCCTCAAACCCCTTCTCCAGAAGCAACCACAGTTACCAGCTTCTTATGTAGTGTTCTATTAATATAAACGTTCTACGCCAAGACACGCACTATCCAATATGGTGGCCAAGAACCCCATGTGGCTATTTAAATTTAAACTAATTCAAGAATTTGTGAAGAAGACCCCAAAGGCCATCACAGCCACAACAAAAATAAATAAATGAGACCTGATCAATATGATACATTGTTGCTAATCATAGTCACCGCCCTGTCCAATAGAACAGGAGAACTCGTTCCTCCTAACTGTAGCTTTGTACCTGTTGACCAGTCTCTCCCTAACCTCCCTCTTTCATGTTGTGTTTTAATATTTTGTTCTACCATAATCTTCTTACATGTTACTCAACTTTGGCTTCAGTCCCCAATCTGCCTGCCATTACTTACTTTTCCAAAGTCCTGAAGGACTTGCTTTGTGATATCTGTCTAGAGTTTTACTTGTAATTTGTGAGAGAGGTAATTTGTAACGGTTTACACAATTTTAGCAGGCACCAGAGGTTTACCATCTCTTTTGAAATCAATATACCTATAAATACACATGAAAGAAAATGATTTTTTGGTGATTTATAAACGTTTAACATGTAATAACAGTGCACTACAATGTGAATAGTATTTATCTATGAGTAGTAAGGTCATTCGTTTTGTATTTTTTGTATTTTCCTATATTTTTGTGACTCAATGTATTACTTGTATAATTAAAAAAAATCATGGAGCAATATTGACTTCAGTCTCCTATGGATCCTTAATTTAGACGTTGCATTCTTTGATCAGAAGACACAGAATAGTAGAAAAGAAAGAATATAGGTGTCAGATGGAATTGGTGATTAAGTCCTGGAAGAGATGTTGTTGCACAAGTTACTACTGGTCCTAGAAGACTCTCCAGCCCATTAATGGTCAGACAACAAATGGAATCCGCATAATTAACTCTAGAAAAATACAGTACTCTCCTCTTAATATGGATAGATGAAACCAGGAAAACTAGATGCAATTAAGAAAACGGACTGCTTAAAAGGGTTGACAAAGGCAGAGAAAAAGCAAATATTGAATTATGTACAATGTGCGATGCACTCCCTTCCTCCTATCAGAGAAGCAAACTGTAATGCAGGTGTGACCTTATTGCTTGTTTACTAATGTTTATGCAAATAGGGTCTTTAGCTGCATAGCAACATTGTTCTAGGTATTTTCTGTGCTGCTCACAACAGGTGGAGATAGTTATTCTAGGGGTGTTTCAATTTCTGGAAATAGAGATCATGGAGAGCAAGGGGAAACGTAAAATATATTTTTTTTCTTATACAGATGAACAGTCTCTCCAGGTGACGCATACACCTGTAAAGGTGGGAATAGGAACTTCAAGATATGGGCATTTGGAGTCACATAAATGACACACCTCCCATGGAGACAGCACATTTGAATCTGTAGAAGAGTTTTATTTAGAACATGTGTTAAAATACTTGAACACCTTCAGACCCATCCTTAAGAGGATATACATCCCATTTCTGGTTCTGATGGGAAGTTCCTTTTGGTTTTTGTTGCAGATTCTGAAAGGAAAGAGGCTGACATAGCTCTAGAGCAGAGGTTCCCTACAGCAAGCTCGCGAGTATGAAAGAATCACAGCCCAGAAGTGCAAAGTTGTATCTTTTTAAGCAACTGCAGGAGCCTGGATGTCTTGAATTTCTGTTTTGAAGCTCATAGTGTGGTTGGTGGTAATGCCCCTGAATATTTGGGTTCAACCCTTTATTTAAGAATCCCTTAAGGCTACATATCCTTCCTTTTCAGTCTTATTCTTGGCAGCCATTCCCACTCCCAGGTAAAGCCTGATTTCCTTAATGTTAGATGTCTTTCTTCCTAGCAAAATGAACAAAATCCTAGGCTTACGGTGAAGACGCTTTTGATTTAGGGTGATATACTAAAAGTTGAATTACAATTTAGTGCTTTCCCAGGACAAACCATGCTATAAACAGGTGTTGAATTACATGGTCAGCCTCTAAAAACCCTTTGAACCCACAAAGTACCTTCTGGTGTTACCGAATTGCTAGATGGTTTCTAACATAACCAGTCAGTGCCATTTTAAAAGAAAAATATAGGAGATCATCTTTATGACTTTGGGTGTAAAGTGGGGTTTCTCAAACAAGAAACAAAAAGCATAAATTTTATAGAAACCTGCTGTCCATATCCCACATGACTCCCTGGCTCTCAGAGAGCTGGAACCCAAGACATAATGATAATAATAATGATAATCCTCATTACCCTTTGGATTTGTAGACTAATTTACTGCTGAAGAGTACTTTTCCATGTTTTATCCCTCTTATTGCTCATAACAGACCAGTTTCAAAGAAGAGGAGACTGGTGCTCGGAGAGATGAAGGGACCCTTCCCCCAAAGCCCCACAGTCCCACAGGGGCAGAGCTGGGATTTGAACCCCTGGCATCCCGAGTGCTCACCTTGACCACCTTCAGCACCCTGACTTCTTGGTCCAGGATCAGCTCATCGTGGAAGCACTGATCCCTCAAGAACTGCTCGATTCTCTGCCCGGCATCCTTCACTTCGTCCTTCCAGTCCCCCTGGGGCTGCAGGCTGTGCTTCACGAAAGCGTCCAGCCTGTCCCCGGGGGTGTCATACAGGTCCTCGGCAGCGAACATCCCTGCAGGACCGGGAAGAATCCTCTCTGCTTCTGCCCAGCCCCGTGGAAGGGGCACCTTCCAGCCTTTCTCCAGCGGGCTACAGGACTGCAGAGGGGGAAGGGGGCAGTGTGGGGCAGAGAGGGACTTATATTCTTCTTGGGGTGCAGAGAGGGCTGGGGTGGGGACCTCCAAGCAGCAGCTGGATCCTCGCTCTCTGGGCTGCCTTGAGCTCAGAAGCCAGCTCTCCTACTACGGGGAAACCGAAACTGAAACTGAGCTTTTGTTTTGTTTAAACTGGAAACTGAACATTGCCCAATTTAGACGAATTTTCTCTCTGTGTAAGGCTGCCAGGAAAGACGGCTGGGAGATGGAGCCAAGCGCCTCCCTGGGGCCTCCCCGTGGGTTCTCAGCCTGGGAGTTCCCCAGAGTGTCCTGGAGCTGGCCTTGTCCGGTCCCCATTTCCTGCGGCAGGTGCCCTTGGGGTCAGGAGGTGCCCTTAGGGTGGAAAGGCTGGTAGGTGCTCACGGCGTGGGTGGAGAAAGATTTCTCATGCAGGGATTAAGATATAAAAGTAAAAAAGTTTATTTTATCCTTCTTAGAGGAAAAAGAGAGAGAGGGGGAAGGGGGGGAGAGGGGGAGAGAGAGAGAGAGCTTGAGAACTCCAGCAGGGTGCCTGTTAGTGAGAACTCACGGGATTGATCTTTAAGTGTTCCTGGGGAAATTGTGGAATTAGGTATTTTCCTGGTATTTTTGCAAGGCCGCCTCTTTCACTGACTGTCTGGGGTAAGGGGGTGGGGGGCTTGGGCTGAGCCTGAGGGGTCCTGGGGTCCAGGATTGACTCTATTTTCTAAGAGCAAAGACGAGCACACTCGTTTATTGTGGTTTCCCTTCCTTCCTTCCTCCCTCCCTCCCTTCCTCTCTTCCTCCTTTCCTTCCTTCCTTCCTTCCCTCCCTCCCTCCCTCCCTCTCTCCTTCCCTCCTTCCCTGTCTCTCTCATCCCCTTATCTTCTAATATTGGTTGATCTGTTGCCTATGTCTAGGTGAGCCTCCTCTTCCCTCCAATAAACCATCAGAGAAAGGGAGTCTTTAAAAAAAAATTGTCTTCAGATGGGGTTGTTCTCTCAAGTACTGCATTTTAAAGAGCAAAGGACAGTTTGGGGGAAGACACATTGGCCTTAAAAGATCTCAGTGCAAATTTTGGAGGTTTAAAGAGGCAATCCTATGGAATCAGCAAAACGAGTACTAGGGAAATTGAATTCGGATTTAGTAATGATTCCTGGGAACACGATGTTACATTTGCACATCTGGATGGTGTTGGACACAAGCGTTCCACCAGCCATTCTGAAAAGGAATCCCACACTGACATTGTGAGGGTCATAAACAGACACCTATAGCATGCGTTTTTTTTCCTGAGTATTTTCCAATTGCAGTTGGTTGAATCTGAGGGTGTGGAAGCCACGGATATGGAAGTCTGACTGTAATCACTTTTTAATTCAGATGGTACATACTAAACACGCTGTTCTGCGTGAGTCTTTGTTTTACTTAGCAAAGTATCTTGGTGTTTGCCACATTATCAATACATAGATGTCTGTTGCATTCTTTTCGATATCTTCTTAGTATACCGTTTCCTATATGCATCGATTATTTCACCAGGATTCCATTATTAGACTGAAGCATTGTATTGATGGACTGATGGACATATTTCATAGAACCAAACACACACACGCGCACACACACACATACACACAATAGTGCATGTAAAACTGGTGAAATCTGAACAGTGCCGAAGGATTGTATCACCGCCAGTTTCCCAGCTGTGATACATTATGCTATACTTATTTAAATGCTACCATTGAGGGAACCTGAAGGAAGCGTATATAGAAATAACTCTACTGTTTCTTACAATTGCATGTAAATCTGCAATGATCTCCAAATAAAAGGTTTTGAAAAAAATTAAGCTGCCAAGAGTGGAGAGAGGGCTTACCAACTGCCCTCTTTTTCCCTTGACAATTGGCCAGGGCTGATTTAACCCTTTGAGACAGCTGTGGAGACTAAGATCAAAGAAGCCTGCCTGGGAGGGAGAAATAAGTGGGGAAGGGGAGAGGAGGAGGAAGAAGCCCCCAGCCCAGATCCGCAGGGCCAAGGACTCCTCCTGCCCCTCCCAGCTCCATCTCTCCGTCTCCGGGCACCGCCTCCTTTCCTCCCTGAAGACCCTGAACAGGACATAGCTGCCCGGGTCCTCCGCCTGCCCCTGGGCGCCACCAGTGCCCTCACCTGCAGTGACTTCAGCCTCTGTGCATTTCCATGTCATGCCAGGACCGTGACTTCTCTAGATCCACCCCCACTGTCATTCCCCGAGGGAAGCTGCCACACCTTCGACATCTCCACCCATGCCTAAGCATCTTCCTCACGTGGGGTCTGTGCCCCTGCAACGAAGCTGCGCAGTAAGCCCAGAGGTCTTTTGAAAACTCAGATTGGGTCTTGGCATCCCTTGCTTACAATGCTCTATCGACTCTCATTGGCCTACAAAGCCTTGTGCAGACATCTAAATGGTCAAAAGTAGCTTCAAAAATTTATGATTATTCTTAGAATTCTTAACATTTTTCGTTATTGAAAATGTTCTTAGAATTCTTAACATTTTTCGTTATTGAAAATGTTATTTCTCCAAAGAAAGTTTCTAATTGATCGTTGGTGATAAAAACCATGCAACCATGATATGATGTACTAATTCTAATTTCAGCCGCCTTGTCAAACATATATTACCTCTAGCAATTTATTCTTAGATTCATTTGTTTTTGTGACTTGGGTACTAATAATAACAACAATGATAATCTTATTCTTTTCTCTCTTTTTTTTATTTCAGAATATTATGGGGGTGCAATTGTTTGGGTTACATGTATTGCTTTTGTACAGTTTGAGTCAATGTTATCAGTGTGCCCATCACCCAGATAGTGTGCATTCTTTTCCTTCTGATCTTTATACACACACACACACACACACACACACATTTTTCTTTCTTACTGCCTATAACTTGCAGTTCACTGCTGTAGAGTTGGCAGTGTGCACCCTGGTGGGAATGTGACGTGGTACAGTCACTTTAGAAAAGAGTCCTTCAGTTTCTCAAAAAGCTAACCATAAACTTTCCTTTCAACAGTTTGTTTTCTTACACATACCAGAAGAATATGTGTGACTGGGCGTGAATTTATCAGCCAGAACACACAGTTCATTCTACATTTTGAAAGTTATCTAAAATTTTGCATCCAGAAACACTTTAATTATATGTACTCACCCAGACTGTTCACTCTTCAGAAAATGCACCAGTGAAAATATAGTGACGTTTTTCCCCAAAATTACTCAGTGGATGGCCAGCCGTGTACATACACATCGACAAAGAAATTCCTTTGCGAATTCACAGAGCCTGACATAAGACTAAGTGCACAGTGGTATATGTATATATGATGCAAATGTACTTTGGTAAGTATATTCTTCATTATGACTGTTTATAACTAAATATCTGTTAATGCTGTCTTTTATCTAATCCTGAAAAAAAGTTTATTTGTTGGTTCTGGAAATACTTGGTGACTCAGGACTGGTAGAAATGTCTGGGGATGGTGTTTCAAATCAAGAATGGAAACTCTGGCCGGGCG